GCTCTAAATGGGCTGGGAGACCCTCCTGGCTTCTTGATGGGTGGGGGGGTGTGACAGGGGCTCCTGTCTGAGGCTGGGGGCTTCAGGTGTGCGGGGCAGCCCCTGGGTTTGGGCACTGAGGGCAGCCTGGGGGGCTGCCTTGGAGGGGGAGCGGCGCAGACAGCGGGGGGGGGCCAAGTGGGGCAGCAGGGACCCCTCTGTGGCTCCTGGCTGCTGCCCCCCGTGTCCTGGGGGGCAGCTGGGGGACCGTGCCCACCAGGGATGGACCCTGGGAGGGGTGACACTGCCTAAAGCTGTGCCAGCTGTGGCACCTGGCTTTGGGGGGCACAGAGCCCCACTCCCCGTGGCTGCTGCCCCACATGTCCTGGGGGGCAGCTGGGGGACCGTGCCCACCGGGGGTGGACCCTCCGAGGGGGGACACTGCCCAGAGCCGTGCCAGCTGTGACACCTGGTTTTGGGGGGCACAGAGCCCCACTCCCCATGGCTGCTGCCCCACAGATCTGGGGGGAAGCTGGGGGACTGTGGATGGACCCTGGGAGGGGAGACACTGCCCAGAGCTTTGCCAGCTGTGACACCTGGTTTTGGGGGGCACAGAGCTCCCATGGCTGTTGCCCCACAGATCTGGGGGAGTTTGCCCACTGGCTGTGACCCTGGGAGGGGTGACACTGCCTAAAGCTGTGCCAGCTGTGACACCTGGCTTTGGGGGGCACAGAGCCCCACTCCCTGTGGCTGCTGCCCCACAGATCTGGGGGGCAGCTGGGGGACCCTGCCCACCGGGGATGGACCCTGGGAGGGGGGACACTGCCCAGAGCTGTGCCAGCTGTGACACCTGGCTTTGGGGGGCACAGAGCCCCACTCCCCATGGCTGCTGCCCCACAGATCTCGGGGGCAGCTGGGGGACCGTGCCCACCAGGGATGGACCCTGGGAGGGGTGACACTGCCTAAACCTGTGCCAGCTGTGACACCTGGTTTTGGGGGGCACAGAGCTCCCATGGCTGCTGCCCCACAGATCCTGGGGGGCATCTGGGGGACCATGCCCACCGGGGATGGACCCTGGGAGGGGTGACACTGCCTAAAACTGTGCCAGCTGTGACACCTGGCCTTGGGGGGCACAGAGCCCCACTCCCCATGGCTGTTGCCCCACAGATTTGGGGGAGTTTGCCCACTGGCCATGACCCTGGGAGGGGGGACACTGCCCACAGCTGTGCCAGCTGTGACACCTGGCCTTGGGGGGCACAGAGCTCCATTGCCTGTGGCTGCTGCCCCACATGTCCTGGGGCACTGTGCCCACTGGGGATGGCACTGGCCATGACCCTGGGAGGGGTGACACTGCCTAAAACTGTGCCAGCTCTGACACCTGGCCTTGGGGGGCACAGAGCCCCACTCCCCATGGCTG